ATGCGCGTTAAATATCGCATGCGATTTATCGTGCAGCCCTAGAGTGAATGCAGTGCTGTTATGTAACGTGTTTTCAAATAGGCACCTGAGTCAGACTCCAAGCATGTTGCAAATAAACACTGCCCCGTTCTAGTCCTGGGGAGTGGGAATGTCGTACTATAAATCATTCTGGATTTTTTTGCATGCTGGATTTTGGGACAAGTGGCTCTCCAGGACTACTTAAAGGCCAAACCATTATGTTTTAGGGGTACATTGGGGCTGCATTCAAAACAAGAGGCTGTTTTGCCAAGCAGAGGCACATGCATTCTGTTCTCCCTCAGTTTGGTCTTCTGGTTCTTGCAGAATGCTGACAGATAACTGATCACAGCAGGAGTTTTTAATAGGGCTGGGCATCGCCAACTTCGTCAATACATCTTGATGCACCACCATATCAGAAATAGATCACAACTGAGATTGAGAGAGACCCAATGTGACTGTGTGAAAGACTGATGATGTGGAATCGTTTTTGCATTCTCGCTTCAATTTTGTCAAGCATGCCATGTTTTAAATTATTATGACATGCATTTGTGTGTAACTTCAGTAAAGTGGCTCAAAAGGGCAATAAATGTGTAACTTTTTCACCACTGATATTTGATCGTTTTAGTGGGTTGAAATTTTGTAATATGATGATCACTGATTATTGTAGATTGAACTATAAGAATTATACGAATGCACACATAACTAACTAAACTAAAAAATAAATAATTAAGTTAAATAAATACACAAAAAATACATAAATTAATGCATTTAAAAAGATAATAAATAAATAATGATTGAAGTTAAATAAGTTAAAAAAGTAAAATATAAAATAAAAGAAAAGAAAATATAACATCGATATATGGAACTAAAGTACAGATGCAATATCTTTGGGGAAAAAGTCACTATAGATTTATGGCTAAATATGCATACATTCAGTTTAATTACAACCATTAAACCACCTAGTGTAACACTCCATGAGTTGTAATAGGCAAATTTTCAGACCAACCACAACGCTACTGGATGAGTTCAGCTGCTCTAAAAAGCCAACGTGAAGCACCACATGTTGACTTTAAATTGAAACAGCTTTGAGCAATTTCTGACACACTGAAAATAAAAACAACCCTACATCTCGACGAAAACAACCAAAATAGTAACAAATATTACGATCACACAACAAGTGGAAGCAGAGGTTCTTGTCAGCTCTGCTTTGTCTATCTCACAGATTAGTAAGCACCGTGTGAGAAGTGAACATTCGAGAAAAGAATGACACAAAAAAAAAAAAAAACTGTTCTCCAGGGACTCCAACGAGACATACCCTGAGTCTCTGATGCAATGCTGCCATCTGAGCAGAACCCGGCACAGGCAGACATCTTGTTATGCTATATTCAGCCACGGAGCATGACTGAGCCACTCATTAGGGAGAGCGACTTGGCTCTGCCTGTGTCTTTTATTGACACTCATTTCACAAAAGAAAGTGGAGGTGCTAATATGCCGGTAGCTTGTTTGGGTATTCCTGCCAATGAAAGAATCCAAGTTTTTAAATAATACAATTTTGTAATAAAAAGAAATGGAGTGCCAAATATAAAAAAAGAAAAACATCATACTGCTTCGGCGTCCAGTGTTGGACTGCAGTCCTGTCTATGTGTCCATACACACTGACAAATACTCAGTTCTCAAGGGATCCTACACCTTTCTCACAATTCCCATGCCTTTTCTAGTCGTTTGTGATTACAGATAAGGATTTTTCCTTAGAAAAAATCATTAGACTGATGATTAGATTTTTTCTGTCAGGTACCAATTTTTTAAATGAATGCATTCTAGAAACATACAGGTGACTGCTTTTCTTCAACAGTTCTATAAAGAAGTAATTTATAGCTGTCCATGTTATATCTAAAATAAAAAATTTTGACACAAGGATCAGCAGAGTGCAGGATCAGCTATTCATAAAAATAAAATGTGTGTTTTAGAGTTCAAATGTCTCCAATAAAACAAAAACAGGCATGCATTTACATATTAACCTATTTTCCTTTTTTTCTAGCATCATTTGCCATCCAATGAGTCACAAAAGAGTTCCTTTAGCAGATAGATGTATATTCATTATATAAATGTTCAACATTTTCTATAGACTACGAATATAGTATAAGTTTCTTTAAAAATGTTTGGTAACACTTTAGTTTAGGGACCAGTTGTCACTATTAACTAGTTGCTTATTAGCATGCACATTACTAGCATATTGGCTGTTTATTAGTACTTATAAAGCACATACTAATGCCTTATATTTTAGACAGCATTTTAGATCCCTTAATCTTACCCCATACTACCTTACTAACTATTAATAAGCAGTTTATTGAGGCAGTAGTCGTAGTTAATAGTTAAAAGTGAGAATTCGTCCACAAACTAAAGTCTAACCAAATGGTTAAACCCTAAAATATGTCCAAGGTTTTCCATAGGAATGTGCAAGTGTTAGCATGGCTGAATGGAGAAGATGCCTCAAAAATAGACTGACAGGATACCCATCTGGTTTGGACTGCTACGAATAGCCAATGACATCAAACGATACAATATTGACACAACCTCAATGAGTTTTGAGAGCTATGACAGAAGGGATGATGTTCAGCGAATAATGACTGGAATATTTCATGCAAGAAAGAAAGTCATACAATTTTGAAGCGACATGAAGCTGCATTTTCTGTTATTTCTGAGGAACTATTCCTTGAATGCCAAATTGTGTCACATTGTGGCAGATCAGCCTCATGGGTTCAACAGCCAGCTGACAGCCCATGTTTGAGCATCTTTCCCAACTGGGACCTTAAATATGTCAAAAACAGATTGGTCACCTCAAATAACCGACCCAACCCCAGGCTCCTCAACTCGCTGCACAAATACCGCATGCTAGGAAGTAAAACGAACCCTAGATCATCGCTGTAAACAATAACTGCTGAGCAGGGCAGAAAGCAGGAAGTGCAAACATTCACACCCGAGGCAGAGAGTTTAAACTCACCGGTCATGTCTGGAGGGAACGCGGCAAAAGGCTCTAGATGAGGAAGAGAAAGATGGGGAGAGGCAGAGAAAGGGAGAAAGACAAACAGAATAAAATGTTAATCTGCAATGTGAGGTCAACGGTGGGGTACATCCATGCATTACTGTATCACATGCTGATGACTCTGAAAACATGCACTGAATTTCATAAAATTATGAATAACCTACATCAGAGACCACACAGGAAATCAATCTAAAGATGGTTCCTGAAATATTTAACCCTCAAATCAAAAGAAAACAGGACCATGAATATATATTATTAAATATATAAAATATATTACCGAGAAACGCCACTTAAAAAAAAAAAAAGGGCTGATTGCCATGCATTATTCTCCACATATAGCGCGATCTGAACCCTAAACACGTTTTGTCAAAAAAGCCGGTTTTGTCCACTTTCAAGGCATCACGAGTTCACGTTTTACTGCAAAAGCCGACAAGCGCCCTTGTTGTTTTTGAAAAAAAATGAGCTGATTGCTGTGCATTATTCTCCACATATCTGAAACCCTAAACACGTTTTGTCAAAAAAGCCGGTTTTGTCCACTTTCAAGGCATCACGAGTTCACGTTTTACTGCAAAAGCCGACAAGCGCCCTTGTTGTTTTTGAACAGAACCCGATAAATCCATTTTAGCGAATCAGCGCACTGTATTCAGGTCAGGTGACAAGGCTACTTTCACTTTGAAAAGACGTGCTAACTGAGAGGAGTTTCGTCAAAGCTGACTAAAAGTGATCGAGGATGGATAATTTCGACGAACTTGATGAACCTGTGATATTTTCTTCAGGGCGAAAAAGGAAAATAAAAGCTGAAACGTTTTCACAGAACCTTGCAAAAGCAGCGCGTTACAATGGTGAGGGAAAAGCTCCGTGTATTGCGTGTAACGTAATCATATCCATACAGTTTATGAGCACAACAACAACAACAACGTTTGTCAGGCATCTACATTGTCATCTGAGGAGATTACAAAGATTAAACGAGTGGGCTTTTTTTAACTCTAAAACATGAAATGCGGAGTTATCTGCTTTTGCCAAAAAAACGACTGTTGGAGTTATCTGCTTTTGTTATAAAACAAACTTTTAATATGTAAAAAAAAAAAAAGAATACTTTCAATGAACTTTAATTTAGTAAATTACCTGTATTTGTTTAAGTTATTATTACTTAATCAAAACAACCCAACTGCAGTTTGATTGATATTACTTGGAATGCGCAATAAAAAACGTGATTTCTGAAAAAAAAGTTATCCGTTTTTGCAAATGAACTCTTCAAATACTACCATGATGTACAAAAGATTGACTTTTTCAAAAAAAAAAAAAATTAATCAAACATTCTACTTTTTTTTTTGTTTTTGTTTTTTTACAAATGAATACAATAATGTTCAGTAATCACAGTATGTATCACTTTTACTTTCACTGAATAATTTTAAATGGTCCTTCTGTTGCTAATGAATTTTTAAAAGTATAAATATTGCATGAGGTGCTTAATGGTCATGAAAATAATGTAACAATGCAAAATATCTTGATTTTCCTTGATTTTCTGGAATGAGTTATGACCTGGACATGTTCTTAACAGGTTTTGAGATTCAGCCAGATGCTGTTTCCAAATGCTATTACTTAAAAGCATTTTTTCCTTCAGCTAAATTATCTGTCCTGAACCCCCCTTCAGTGTTCAGATAAGGCATTTTGATTCTCAGTTTGTTGGTACAGAAGCGTGTTTTCAAGATGTTTTCATGTTGTGAAGGTTTTGTTTTGGGGAGCGAACATGGAGGGACAGAGAAGATTGCTTGAATTCTTGAAACACAAACAATTAGAAAAAGACGAGAAACTATCGTGGGGGCCAGCGGCTTGGGGATCTCTTTTTGGCGGGAACTGCGAGTCCAACTGCACGGGTCGATAAGAACTCTCCCAGCATGCTTTTGGAAGAATCACAGCAGGCGCATGGTGGAACACGAGCTCAGAAGGCTTCCAATTTTTGGATTCGAAATGAACCACCAAGTCCCGTAGTCTCGGAGTGAGCCAAAAATGACTAAATCAGGGTTTCCAGTTATGGACTGGGAATCGTAGCAGCGGCGAGCACATGGTCACATTCTGATGTCTTTAAGACCATAAACCACAAAGCTTCTGTGCGAGATCCATCCTCAAAAAGCTCGGGCTATCAGCTAATTCCATTAAAAATCTCTGTTTACAAACATGGAAGGAGAAGCGCAAAGGAAATAATGAAACATAGATTAGCATCGGGGCCCAGGGGCATTTGTGGCCTAGATTTGATTCTACATTTTGCACTTGATGGCAAACAACGAGCCGCAGTATTTTTTATGTGTGTCATCCTTTCATGTTAATAAATTATATTTTGAGAAGCTCTTTGAGATAGTGGCTGTGATGGCTAAGGTTTGATCACAGTAAATAGAGAGGTTTACTGTATGGAGTGAGATTCTCAACGAATTATGGTGAAATGGTGGAACTGGAATATGGCCGCCTGTAATGAAGAGATAAAGGTGAACTTCACAGGAAACCAGAAAGAGCGTGGCAGGGAGAAACATCTGGTCGAGATAATGCAAGGCTTTTGCTTAAATTGTTGCTATGAATGACAACTAAAGGACAAACCTAATGATGGAAGAAAAAGATTAAACGTGCACACTTACGAGTACACTCCTCCAGTGGTGTGTTCACACTCATGTGGATGTTATCGATCCAGATGTGGCCTTTGGTACCCTCAAAAAATCCTTCGATTACCACCTGTGATGAAATATGAGAACATAGTCAAATGTCTCCATGATTTCTGACAGGCTGTCAAGTAAACAATTAATGATGATTCAAATGAGTAATCATTTGGGCTGTCAATAGATTCAAGTAAATATCATGCTTTGGTGTTTTTAAAGTGATGTTCACTAATATATTTCTGTCACATTTTACCTCACAAATCGAAAGAAATTATGTTGTGCATAAAGAAAATGAAGCCTATTTGGGGACCTTAAAGATTTTGGTAGTGAGACATTATCTCAGTTTATTTTTTAATTGTTTGAATTTCCATTATAGTTTCATATGATTCTCATTAGATCCTCATTTTCAACTTTTTTAAAGTACAAAAAAAACCTTTATCATTATATTAACAACTACAAAAGCAGTGCAACAATTATTATAAATACTTTACAGTAGACAAAAGTGTTGTGTATATTTGAATAAAAATACACAAAATAGACTATTTCTTGTGAATTTGGGATGAAATGTATGAGATTGACTCGATTAATCTCACATTTTGAACACCACTATAAAAGTTTATTTTGCTTTCTCAAAACCAAAACATACTTTTCTTGTGATCTCAAGTTAAGTTATTTTGCTTACAACAACAAAGAGAGAAAATAAGAAAGAAAACAAGACCAGCGACATGATCTTCAAGGAAAAAGTTAGTTGAACATGGCAGTCAATCTGATAAAACTAGTTCACTAGAAGCTTGGTGAAGAAAATTTCAACAGCAACATACAGTTAATAATAGTTAATAATATAATTGACTATAATTGGATGCGAAATACTTAAACCTACCAATATCCGTCACTATGACTTGTTGTTCGAGGACAAAATTACGTTTTAGTCACATAACATCAGTTAATGGAAATGCAATCATTTCGCAGTCGTTTTTTTATTGACATTTATAAAATATCGCAAAAGTTTTGCGCAAATCTATAATGAAAACCAGGCAAATTATATTGCGCAAGGAAAAAATAACGTTTTAGCAACCTAACATCAGTTAATGGAAATGCGGTCATTTCGCAGTAGTTTTTTAATTGACATTTATAAAATATCGCAAAAGTTTTGCGCAAATCTATAATGAAGACGAGGCAAATGATATTGCGCGAGGAAAAAATTACGTTTTAGTCACATAACATCAGTTAATGGAAATGCGGTCATTTCGCAGTAGTTTTTTTTATTGACATTTATAAAATATCGCAAAAGTTTTGCGCAAATCTATAATGAAGACGAGGCAAATGATATTGCGCGAGGAAAAAATTACGTTTTAGTCACATAACATCAGTTAATGGAAATGCGGTCATTTCGCAGTAGTTTTTTTTATTGACATTTATAAAATATCGCAAAAGTTTTGCGCAAATCTATAATGAAGACGAGGCAAATGATATTGCGCGAGGAAAAAATTACGTTTTAGTCACATAACATCAGTTAATGGAAATGCGGTCATTTCGCAGTAGTTTTTTTTATTGACATTTATAAAATATCGCAAAAGTTTTGCGCAAATCTATAATGAAGACGAGGCAAATGATATTGCGCGAGGAAAAAATTACGTTTTAGTCACATAACATCAGTTAATGGAAATGCGGTCATTTCGCAGTAGTTTTTTTTATTGACATTTATAAAATATCGCAAAAGTTTTGCGCAAATCTATAATGAAGACGAGGCAAATGATATTGCGCGAGGAAAAAATTACGTTTTAGTCACATAACATCAGTTAATGGAAATGCGGTCATTTCGCAGTAGTTTTTTTTATTGACATTTATAAAATATCGCAAAAGTTTTGCGCAAATCTATAATGAAGACGAGGCAAATGATATTGCGCGAGGAAAAAATTACGTTTTAGTCACATAACATCAGTTAATGGAAATGCGGTCATTTCGCAGTAGTTTTTTTTATTGACATTTATAAAATATCGCAAAAGTTTTGCGCAAATCTATAATGAAGACGAGGCAAATGATATTGCGCGAGGAAAAAATTACGTTTTAGTCACATAACATCAGTTAATGGAAATGCGGTCATTTCGCAGTAGTTTTTTTTATTGACATTTATAAAATATCGCAAAAGTTTTGCGCAAATCTATAATGAAGACGAGGCAAATGATATTGCGCGAGGAAAAAATTACGTTTTAGTCACATAACATCAGTTAATGGAAATGCGGTCATTTCGCAGTAGTTTTTTTTATTGACATTTATAAAATATCGCAAAAGTTTTGCGCAAATCTATAATGAAAACCAGGCAAATTATATTGCACGAGGAAAAAATTATGTTTTAGTCACATAACATCAGTTAATGGATCAGTAGTGTTTTTTAATTGACATTTATAAAATATCGCAAAAGTTTTGCACAAATCTATAATGAAAACCAGGCAAATTATATTGCGCGAGGAAAAAATTACGTTTTAGTCACATAACATCAGTTAATGGAAATGCGGTCATTTCGCAGTAGTTTTTTAATTGACATTTATAAAATATCGCAAAAGTTTTGCGCAAATCTATAATGAAAACCAGGCAAATGATATTGTAAGGTTTACCAACACTATTTACCATACATTACATTTTTAATATAATCCCATTTTACTGTATATCTTGTCTAATCTGCTTACCTGAAATGCATTAGGAGATCGAGGTATGATGGTCCGTCCTTCTTTCCAGATGGGCTCCTGGTCTCCACGGAGGGACCAGAGCAGGGTTTCCTCTTGGTGTTTGTTCTGCAGCAGGACCCTCAGGGTTCCCTGATCCTCCAGCTGATAGGAGAACATCAGGCAGAGAGGTCCGGTGTCGGGATCCACACTGGGACTGAACAGCCGGGCTTTCTGGCCTTGCGTCTCAGGACTGGCCTCAATGTACAGGTAGTTTCCCAAACCTGTGAGAGAACAGACACAGCAAGGCCTATCACACAGAGCGACAGATTAAAATGTTGCAGCCTTTTGGTTAGTCGCATGTAATCTTGTTCATTCCCTGCTGGGCAAAAAGTGCCATTCAGCACATGACATTTTAACAGTCTTGTTTGTGTCACCGTGGGTCCAACCTATCAAACAGCCAGTGAGCACTTTCTCAACCCAAACTGTGTTTCCAAGCAACACGTTTCTCTTGTCCCACCCGTCAAAAGTCATGCGGTGTGATTATACGGAAAAGTCAAGTGTGTCATTGTGGGAAAAGTCAAGCACTTCGTCATTAGTGTCGTTCGTGAGCGACGGTAGCCCACTACTCTACTGTAGGCACTTTAGGTGACGGCAGGTGTCTGTTTGCTAAGCCGAGAGTGAAAGAGCCTTAAGTGGGAGCAAGGCACGACCCCCACAGTGAAGAAGGAGTGGAGAGACAGGTGCACACTCTTTTATCTCTCTATATATTTGTGAATAATCTTTCCAGACGTTTCAAGGTCAAAAGGATCTCGAAAAAAGCTCATGTGGTGGCATCTCTCTGAGCCATCCGATTGGATGAGGAGGAGACATGTGACCTATTGGAGTCTTCAAAATTTTGAGAACTGTCAGAAAGCGCCTATAACACCTTGCAGCTGTCGGCATGGCTTGTTAAGTCTTTCAGAGAGAGCATTTAAAATATTCCAAGGCAATGAATTTAAAATAGGTTTAGGATAACAATCCCCTTAACTTCACTGGGAATGCATATATGAGGAGATGTGAAGGGGTGGGGAGCGAATATCTTTAATTTATGTGAAAAAAAAAACCTTTTTGATCGTAAGTACTATATTTATAAGGGGAAACGAATAATGATCTCTTGAAAGAGGCTTTAAGTACATGGAAGTCTATGCAAAAATCCGCCTGGAAGGCAGGTGGAGGACTGGAATACATGGTTGGAAATGCAGTTTTCCACAAGAATCTGCACCTCTGAAGTCTGAAAAGGTTTTTTGAAATTCCAGAAAGGAGGCCTGGGAAATTGCGATGCTTCTTACACTTTTAAATGGTTTTGGAACAAAATAAATCATTAAACAATATTGCTTAGCACCATCTACAACACATATAAAATTATATGATATATAATGATGTACACTACCGTTCAAAAGTTTGGGGTTAGTATAATTTTTTATTATTTTTTTTTAATAAAAATTATACGTGTATTCAGCAAGAATGCATTTAATTGGTCAAAGGTGACAGTGAAGACATTAATAATGTTACAGAAAGATTTCTCAAATAAATGTTGTTCTTGTGTTCACAAAAAATATTACACGGCTCTCCTGTTTTTAACATGGATAATAATAAAAAATATTTCTTGATCAGCAAATTAAATTTCTAAAAGATCATGTGACAATAAATTAAATTTCAAAATATTTTAAATTAGAAAAAAAGTGTTTTTAATTGTAATAATATTTCACAATATAACAGTTTTTAAAATATTTTGATCAAATAAATGCAGCCTTACTGAGCGTAAGAAACTTCAGAAACATTTAAAAAATCTTGCCAACCACCAAACTTTCAAAACAGCAGTGTATAATTGAAAATATACCAGAAATGTCAAATCTACAGTATAAGCTCTAAATTCTGACAGAATGAGCCGCATTTGAAACTGCTGTAAAACAGCCAAAATATGCAAACCAGTGGCAGTGACCTCACATCAATTGAATTCTATATTAATGTTTGGCAAAATTAGACAGCCTACAGTTATAGTACTATGCCAAATAATTATTTATTGTGTTTATTGTAAATAATTAATGTAATTATTTATTGAACAATGCCATCCCAATCATATTGCTGTTGCTGCCTTTTTATAAAAGCAATATGTCAGTCGAGACCAAGCGTTACAATGATTTTTGCGTTACATGTCAACACTTGACTCTTAAATGTGGTGAAATGACTGCAACACATGCCCTCGAGTGTCATGTGAAATAGTAACCTATTTTACTTTCATAGTCTGATGCATTTCAGAATAAAACTAAATAATAATGAAGAAAAAAATGAAAAATGTGGAATTAAGCCAAACTCGAAAACTACAAGGGAGGCTGATGCAATGTTAAAAGCAAAGTTTTGCATGACATCATTTCTTTCTTTCACAGTCATTCACCAGAAAGGTGTATTGGAACGTAAATCTTGCTTTCATATTGATGAATATGTAGTAATCTGCAGCCCACAGACTCCCAGCTTTCAATCAAACAATGATTGTTATTTCTGTCTTCACTGCCATGCTTTGTTCCTGGTGTACGCTTCTAACTGGGATGTGTCATGGGATAGAAATAGAGGGAGTGTGACAGTGTTCGGGAGGGAGAAAGGAGGAGAGAAAGCATGCCGAGCATTCATCCTGTTTTCCTCTTCTAGATCTCATGCCAGTGGCTGACATGTGGAAAGCAAACCGCCGTGTACAGAGGGAATGAGGTCACAGGAGTTTAGGAGAACACGTACTGAAGTTAGAAAACTAAAAGGCTGTTCTGGAAACAGTCAAGGTGCATTTCATCTGGGTGAGGTGTTAAAATGATTATGGGAAACTGATTTGGAGTTAGAATTAAGTCATATTACATGAAGAACAGGGCACAAGATACCCTGCTGAGTTTACACTGGCATCAGTTTCGATGTGGGTCCCGGCTGGTTTATGCTGGTTAGTACCGGTTTGGTGCAAGTCAAGATGTTCCCTCCCAAAACTTTGCCAACATGATCTTTTATGGAAAAGCTGGTTGAATTTTGGCGTAAAAAATGCCATATTTAAAAACAATGCTATATTATATATAAATAACAATATAAACAAAAAAGGGATGAATTAATTATAAGTAATGTGTAATACTCACTGTTTGAGCACATGGAGAGATCTTGACTCTGACCCAAGGCAGTGCTTTTACTAGAACTGTGTAGCGCCCAGCTGAGGTCAGAATCCGGGTCAAGGGTCCAACCACACAATCCTTGCTCAAAATCACACAGACCTTTGTGAGACGGCAGGGCAGCGCTGGTAACTGACAGATAGAGTACTGGCATCAGTTTCGATGTGGGTCCCGGCTGGTTTATGCTGGTTAGTACCGGTTTGGTGCAAGTCAAGATGTTCCCTCCCAAAACTTTGCCAACATGATCTTTTATGGAAAAGCTGGTTGAATTTTGGCGTAAAAAATGCCATATTTAAAAACAATGCTATATTATATATAAATAACAATATAAACAAAAAAGGGATGAATTAATTATAAGTAATTATAATTTATTTAAATATAATTATGATTATTAATATAATGATGAACTAATTATATACATCAATACATTCGCATTAATATTCATCAACCCTGGCAAAACATTGGAAGGCTAACGGCACTTTAAACTAAACTGAGTTTTGACCTTTGACTTCAGCTGCATCAATGTGCAAAAATATAAAATATCACAACAACTCTGCCAAAGAAGCCACGGAAAATGCTGATAGTGTAACTTATGTTAAAGGGATATGGATATTTATTGAACAAAAAAGTGGTATAAAGTGCTTACAGGTCACATGCACATATTTATGTTGTTTTGAAATATTATATTGCTCCATGTATACACAAGCACTTCACTTAAGCAAACTTTCCCTTGTGAAAATACATTGGTGCGTTATTGGTAGACTGATTAGTTTCCATTTCACATATGCATGCAACAATAACCCAAATGCGGCTGATTTCTGGAGGTTTAATGTGTTTGTGAAATGTATACAGGCTTAAATTATGTATTGTAAAAAAACTAAATAAATAAATAAAAATTATGCATACATTTTGTGATTAGATCTAAACCAACCTGGACTGGGTTTCTGCATTGTGCTGGTTTCTACAGTGGAGGCTTGAGTTGGTTTGGATGTCTCTACAGCTGGTGTGGAGGTTTCTGCAGAGGAAACACATAATTAACAATCTTATCTTAACCCAGACCAGAATGCATTTCCATTCAAACAAATCTCTTTTTCTTTCCATTTCAAATGAGATTCCCTTTCATTTTAATTATGCAGCCAGCCATGAGTCAGATACTCATAAATTAAATCATAAAGCTCCAATCTCTGAATTTATGCCAGCGCAGAGGCGAACATAAACTATGTGCACAGTATGCAATCCTGTGCAAAACTATAATTTTGTCCCCATATAGCCTGCAGGTTTTTGCATCTGTCTTAAATGATGACATCAGACTGATGGATGGCGTTGCTTTAGGGAGAAAAACCAGACAAGCCATGGGGTGTTGAATGAAAACAACACATGTATACATACATGCATACTATAAAAAAATAAAAACAATTTAGCTATTTAAAACCTCTTAACTGTCACCCGTCCCCTCTGTGGGACGCCTAAGTTTACTTCACTATATTACAATGAAATCCTAATCTAATCATGACAAACTTTATATCGTTGGAAAGGTCTAAGACTCCTAAATAGATATTTTAAAAATTATGTAGGAAAAGTAATAGATTAATTTATGACAAGAGTGCACCTCAAAAATCTACATCATAACAGGAGTTCTGACCTTTGTCACAAAAAGACTTCTTCGTTGCCTTTTTCTCTATCATAGATGATTTCTATGATTTAGAAATCATCAGAAATTATATATCAACTGAAAACGTAAAATCTCAAAATTCATCCTTTGAAAACCATTTTAAAATCAGACATTGCATTACCATGAAAATGGTACATCAAAATCATGTTACAAAATGTTTTCATTCATGAATTATAAAAATGTAAGTTTGGATAGTGCACTTTCACGTCTATGTTCAAAAATGTGAGTGACAGTTAAGGGGTTAAAAAAAAGTGCAAACGATTAATTTTACTATGAACTGTAGGTACCAAAATGCCTCATATAATGCCTGAAATATTTTCACCTAAAACAAGAACAAACATAATCTGTCAACAGAGTAATTAAAGAATAAAATTACTGTTACCAAAAAGAATTTTCAATATTTTTCTAATTAAATTTTTTTGTAATTTTCTGCCAGGACATCATTCTCTAAATTACGGTGATTTTGTTTAACTCAACACAACACAATGCAATGTGCAATTCAAAATATGGATAAAACACCTTTGAAAAATCAATACAGACAAATCCTTCATATTAACAGTACATTGGGCCCTATTTTTATAGTAATTTCCTAGAGTGAAGGTTATTGCTGTTTCAAAATGGCTGTGTATGTTATCCGTCTCTTTAAAGAATACGTGTAACTGTACACCTCACCGCAGGCTGCAGTTGCCTTAATGTGATTAAGACTAGCGGGAAGATCATTGCCTCCAGTGTGTGTGCATGTCTGAGTGTGTTGGAAGTAATGGGAAGTAAGGCAAAGAAATGAAAGCATATTATTGATAGCTGTAATCTGTCTTCCATCCATTCCATTCAGCTCCCCCTTTCTCAGCTCATATCCATATCATTCTCTTCTCTCTCCCTCTACTCTTGTCCTGTCATTTCTGCTTTCATCATATTCCCACCCTTTCTACAGGAAAGCTGTCACGTCGTTCTCCAAAGACCCTGATTCAGCAAAAAATAATAAATCAATAATAAAAAAAAAATAGATATATAAATAAATAAATAACAGAGCCTCAATTATGCATAAAGCTTTCCTGCATATTTCAGCCTGCCAATCACAGCTTGGCAAGGCAGCAGAGAGCAATAGTGCATGCTGGGAAAATAAATAGCTGCCTTTGGGACCCCATAATTTACCTCAGATTCATGCAATGTACTATATATTATATACGTTTGATCGCTCCATGATGACCAAAGCATATAAAACCCGAAGAACTGAAAATGGCTGAGATAAAATACAAAAAGATAGATTAATTATCTGATACTACACTAGTCAACATTTGAAGTGGATCACAGCCTTTCATCAAAGTTGTCCTAAAACCTAAAAGTGTGTCACTGTGTTTAAATAAATTAATACTTTTAGTCAGCAAGGATGCATTAAACTGATCAAACATGAAAGAATGTAACAAAAGATTTCTAATTCAAATAAATGCTGTTCTTCTGAACTTTCTATTCATCAAATAATCCTTGGAAAAAAAAGTATTATGGTTTCCACAAACATATTAATCTGCACAACAGTTTTCAACACGGATAATACAATGAAATGTTTCTTGAGCTGCAATCAGCATATTAGAAGGTGACACTGAAGACTGGAGTAATGATGCTGAAAATTCAGTTCTGCATCACAGAAATAAATTACATTTTAAAATATATTCAAGTAGAAAACAGATATTTTAGATTGTAATAATATTTCACTATATTACTGTTTTAAATGTGATCTTACTGACCCCTAACATTGGAACAATAGTGTATGCAGCACACACACAACTGAGACGTCACAGTAAAGCCTTACAAAATTCATCCAGCCTCCACCAATTTTTAATGGTTGTTTTCTCCTATCCAATTCGTTTAGAGACTATCCCTGTTTCCATGTTTATATTTTCTCTTCACATCAGTCTATCCATTTTCTTTTACTTCTCCCCACCAAAAATGACAAAAATAAAACATTGTACAAGCTGCAATAGCTTTCAGCTGACGGTGCGTTTCTGGGCAGCTGCTCAGTGTCAGTTGTATAAATTTCACCCTACAACTGGAACTGCCCAATCATCACCAAGTAATTCAGCTTATGATTTCACGATAGTGGTGTATTTGAGAGCCGTGTCCTACCTGGCAGGTTGCAGCCCAGGACTTCCATTCTCATTCCGATCCCTGCTGGAGACCAGCGCTCTGGATAGATGCGGATAAACTGTGCAGCCAGTTCCTCAAAACGCCTCAGCTCTGGGGTGTCATAGTGTGTGTTCCCCTCAAAAAGCTACAGAAAGAAACACACACACTGAATGCAGACATCTGAACAGGTATCGCAGGTGTCACAGGTGTGGTTAACCTGCTAGTAAAATAATTAGAATAGCATGTTTAGTTGGTAACTCTGACAATTCAATTGAGTTCCAAATGGCTTGATTTCCTACTGGAGTATACCAGAAAATGTTTTTTAGCTGATCATTTATGATGATTCATTGATCCAAGCTGGTCTAGATGATTGATCGATTGGACTTCCATCTAATGGACTTGGTTTTTGACCTTGTAGACCATCTTAATCAAGATGGTAAGGACTGGTAGCAACAAAACGGAACATGTCAACCATATTGGTGAAGATGTTTAGAGCTGTTCTTAGAACAGCAACAAACCACTTACAATATCATTCAAAACTTTGGTGTTGGTAAGATTTCTAATTGTTGTAAATAAGTCTCTTATGTCACCAAAGATGAATTTATTTAATGAAAAACATAGTAAAAAAAGAGCAATATTGTGAAATATTATTACAATTTCAAATAACTGCTTTCCTAGCCAAGCTGAATTTACAGCATCATTACTCCAGTCTATGTCACATGATTCTTCAGAAATCATGCTAATGTGCTGTTTTGCTGCTCAAGAAACATTTCTTATTATTATCAATGTTGAAAACAGTTGTGCTACTTAATCATTTTATAGAATCGGTGATACTTTATGTTTTTCACAATTCTTAGATGAATAGAAAGTTCAAAAGAACAGCATTTATTTGAAATAGAAATATTTAGTGACATTATAAATGTCTTTACTGTCACTTTTGAGCAATTTAATGCATCCTTGCTGAATAAAAGTATTACTTAAAATACTTTAAACAGTTTACCCCAAATTTAGTTTTACAGTTTCATACCAAATACAGTTTACCCCAATTTGAATGGTAGTGTATGTTTATAAAATAAGCATTCTGCATATGTTTATATTATGCTCTGGGCAAATTAAATACCTTGGGCATGCTAGTCTTGCTATCCATTACAAAGTTCCAGTCTTTCCCATTCAGGCTGTGTGCTAGACGGTACTTCCGAACGAAAGCCCGGTTCTCTGAGCTGGTTCCTCCTTCCCCGCTCCGTGCTCCTTGGGTTATCACTCCTCGCACTGTCTTGGGTGTCCCGAGGTCCACTTGTAGCCATTCTTCTCCAGCTATAGGCTGGGCAGGGCCGGGAAACCAACCTGATCTGCTGGCCACAAGACGTGCTGCTCCAGGAGCCCAGTGAAGGTCCCTCACCGAGGAGGCTGAGATCTGGGAATCAGGGAGGTGCCCGGACAGCATTCCCTGCAGCTCCGAACAAGGAGCGTCTGAGAGAAAAGAGAATGAGAGAGAAGAACACACTTACTTCAGCCTTCAAATGATGAAATGGTCATGTTGCAGGCACTGTTATCCAAAGTGTCTCACAGTATACTTAATACAGTTCTCTGAATAAAACTGATGTGTTTTTTTCTGCCTTGAGCTCCATATTCTTTTTTTTTTTTTTTTATGATTTTGTCCAAAGGTCCAAAAAAGGGTTCCAAAAATAAATACATACAAAATGCATGAATGTGCATCTTCAACAGAGGGGAACATTTTCAGTTTTTTTTTTAAACAGACAAGAGTTATATAAAGACCTCATAAATATACATTGTATGTTAAGATAAAAACAAACCATGTGACTATAAACACTCACCTGTAATTTGGCAGCCGTAAAGCTCAAAGCGTAGTGCAATGCCGTTATTCCAGATCTGTGGTCGAATACGAACAAACCGAGCCAGAACGGGCTGAGGAATACGATTCAAAACCACCTCAGATGGGTCAGTATTGGCATGGAAAATCTGCAAAAGAGAGAAAACACAGCACTAATTACACTTGCTGCAAAGCATCAACAAAACTATTCACTGGTTGTTGTTTTTTTTATTTAGGAGTGAACTTTTTTTCCCAAAGGAAACATGTTCTTTCATGCTACTCCTATTTAGATTTTTGTTTTTCTGCATGCAAAATAGTCAGGATAAATGAAAAGAAATATTATTCCTCCCTTTTAAAAGGTATTCAGTTGAAGGACATCTTAGTTCGATATGAGGTATAGCTCATAGATAGATAAAGGTGTGCAGTGATCATACTTGCATCTGGGCAGATGACAAAATCATAGCCATACATTAAAGAAGGGATCCGAGCCATATCCACCAGCTAGAACACCCTAGCAATGTCTTAACAACTGTTAGTTGCATAGAGTCACCCTACTTCAGTAATTTTTTTCCCAAAGACATCCCTTAAAACATGTTACAAATTAAAGGTGGGATCATTATAAAATTGCTGCGATAAAACACTCTGATCCACATACCTCAGAACCACAAGAGATCCTACAGTTTCTCTGTAAAGCGTGATAAGGGGTAGATTAAACTGAACACCAGTGAAAAATCTCTAAAGATAAGAGAGGAAGTTCCCATGTAGAGACAAATGGTTGACAGATAACTGAAATGTAAACCAATGTACCCTCAAAATGAGGAAAGCACATGCAGTTAGTAAGCTCGAGGTTTAAGTCACATAATTGTATTACAACAAGATATGAGCTATCAAAGCTGGAGAGAAATTATGACTGCATAGACATGCATTTAAAGAAGTAAACATTTCTAAAGCTAATGAAAGTAACTGCGCAACCGTCACAAGGATTTATTCAACAGTCCAATAAACAAGAAGTTAATATTGAGTAACTTGCATTTTTGACACAATATTGAAAGTTACTTAGTCTGTTTTTGTACCACCAACGAAAATACCTCCAAACAAAGTCACGGCAGAATCAGCCATCTGGTGTTTCTGAATGAATCAATGATTCAGATGATTCAGTGACTCACTCGAATTCAGTCCCTTCAATGACTCAATTCATGTTGATTTCCTGAATGTTTTTGAACTAACCGGATGAGTGCATTACTCAGTATTTTAATGACTCACTCATTATTAGGTTCTTTTGAATTAATTGGATGAGCGAATTATACAAAGACCCATTCGTAGGGTCTCGGAACTTGATTAAGTCCTAAATGAATCAGTGCTCCAGAATGAATTGGTTGAATGAATGACTCAGTGACTTCATAAAGCTATCTGGATTCATAAAGCTAGTGACTTGAACAGGTGACCGCATTTTTAAGACCAGTCACCTGTTTTCTTCATGAATTAATGACTGTTTTAAACAAAACGGTTCAGTAAATAATTAAATGACTCACTCATAAAGAATCCCTTGTTTCGTTACTGAACTAACAACAGTCATTTGAACTAACTGCATGAGCGCAATTAAAGAAAAGTCACTTTGAATTGGTTGAATGAATGATTCAATGACGCAAATGTGCTCTGTTCATGAATGATTTGCTGTAAATGATTTAACGGCTCATTTATAAAGGGAGACACTTGGTCGCAACCTACTGGCGCATTGATGTATACATAGGGCTTAAAAACAAATAGACAGGAGATTGTAACTTATGACTGTTAAAACGGTTGAAAACACATGACCTCGCACACACACACACACACATCCGTGTTCTTCCATCCATGTGGGAGGTTGAATGCTGGGTGTGTCTTAGCCAACCGAAAACATTCCTCACCTGAGATCAAGTGTAACAGAGGCCAAGATGGGCTGTAAAGGCTTTCCAAAGTGAACACAAACAGACACACAAGTATCCTGGCTTACTTACAAAGCTGCGACTATGACCGACACCATGAGGCAGTGAAACGGGCTGATTAAGTCAAGTGGCACTAGAAAAAGTAGTGGACTAGACGAAGACAAACAAAGAGTCTATTGAGCTCGTTTTCACCACCGTTAAATTTCCCCCATTCCTTTTATCCTCAAGGCCTAAACCTCATTCATCCCCATTGTTCGCCTCATCTTCTCTATCCAGTGGCCACAAGTCACGTTCAATCGAGAGTTACAGGCTCTGGGCAGAGCAATCCATATGGAAGAATCCCTTTTCTGTGCTATACGCTCAAGGCTACAAATGCTCTATCAACTCTGTGTGAGTGAGTGTGTGTGTGTGTGTGTGTATTCCCAGTAGGGGAATTCGGCACACTCACAAAGGACCACACTCATAATGATTCAATGATGCAGTGAAGGAAGGGTGGAGAGATGGGGGAAGGTTTTCTCGAACGCTTTTTTTTAAATGCTGATCTCGAATGTGTTGTGGCTGCTGAAGCCAGACAGACAGACAGTTGACTAGACGGATGACCCCTTTCCTGATGCTGCAATAGGTTCTTCCATCCATGTGGGAGGTTGAATGCTGGGTGTGTCTTAGCCAACCGAAAACATTCCTCACCTGAGATCAAGTGTAACAGAGGCCAAGATGGGCTGTAAATTCTTTCCAAAGTGAACACAAACAGACACACAAGTATCCTGGCTTACTTACAAAGCTGCGACTATGACCGACACCATGAGGCAGTGAAACGGGCTGATTAAGTCAAGTGGCACTAGAAAAAGTAGTGGACTAGACAAAGACAAACAAAGAGTCTATTGAGCTTGTTTTCACCACCGTTAAATTTCCCCCCATTCCTTTTATCCTCAAGGCCTAAACCTCATTCATCCCCATTGTTCGCCTCATCTTCTCTATCCAGTGGCCACAAGTCACGTTCAATCGAGAGTTACAGGCTCTGGGCAGAGCAATCCATATGGAAGAATCCCTTTTCTGTGCTATACGCTCAAGGCTACAAATGCTCTATCAACTCTGTGTGAGTGAGTGTGTGTGTGTGTGTGTGTATTCCCAGTAGGGGAATTCGGCACACTCACAAAGGACCACACTCATAATGATTCAATGATGCAGTGAAGGAAGGGTGGAGAGATGGGGGAAGGTTTTCTCGAACGCTTTTTTTTAAATGCTGATCTCGAATGTGTTGTGGCTGCTGAAGCCAGACAGACAGACAGTTGACTAGACGGATGACCCCTTTCCTGATGCTGCAATAGGACGCAGTCAGCCATCCAGCTCTGTGGCAAAACATTGTGGCAGTTCTGCAGAGTTCACGGATAACGATGGAAGAGAAGACAGAGGTTAAACGAAAGAGACAGGGATGAGGAGAACAGGGTCTGAGAGATGATAACATAGACCAATCAACAAGACTGAAAAAGCATGGGCGGAAAATATCAGAAATACCAGATGAATTGGAAAAATATGAGAAAAAAGGACTGGCCCACAATCAGAGTAAATGGAATATTTAATTTGACAGGAATTAACCCGAAGCTGAGCGGGATGGAAGTAGAGTCCATTCAGTGCAACTCATTCATTTCTGTGTAACCAAGCTGAAACAAAAACTGGTGTAGGATTTAGTTTGAAACAATTTTCATTTAGAAATTGCTAATACGTTACAAAAATAATACAAAAAAACATGGAATTTTGGGGTAAAAATTTTGGTAGTATTTTCATTTTATTTTTATACAAAAAATGTTTTATTCACAACTTTGAAAAATCACAGTGCATTCTTGCATAAATATATGCAACAATTTTTTTTTAAACTAATTTCAGAGTAAATTATTTGTATTTGAAACTCATTCATAAAATAATGTTTACGTACATTTTTGTTAATTATTTGTAACATCTGTACATTTGCATGTCAAATTTAATTGGTAATGGTTTGTAAACTAATAGTTACATTTATATAACACATCTGCATGAAAATGAATAAAATCATATTTTTTTTACATTATATGTGTAATTTCTTTGTATATAATTTGTAGACAAAAAATACACAAAAATTTATAGCAAATTTACACAAAAACTTAATTCTTTTGCAATTCATTAAAAACATTCTTACAATTTACATAACAAAATAATTTGAAAATGATCCATAAAACCAATTGTATGTACATTTCTGTGTAAATTATTCTTCAAGAATGAAGCTCTTATTTTTATGTAGTTAGGTATCTTTCTCTCGTTGAAACAATGTAGTTGCACACATTTTCCTTGCCAAAAAAAAGAAAGAAAGAAAGAATGGGTTGTAAAAATTAAATATGATCTAACCTCAATAAAGACTGACATAATGAACTGTATTTCCATTCTTACAAGCCTTGTTCTTTTCACATCAAATGGCATCTACTAAAGACTATTAATCACACAAGAATTAGGTGTAGATCAAACACAAGGAAAATAAATATGGTACAGTTTAAGAGCAGTCAAGGAAGGTCAGAGGTCGAATTGCTTATGGTTAATGCATTAAGGCTTTCTTCACCTGCAGAGATCAAAGATTCCATCAGTGGTTCAACTGCGATCTTTGACCCCTGTCAATAAGCCTAGTTACACAGTTCAAAGGTTAGTTTAGATTATAAAGAGGTCTGAGCAACACGTGATGTCTGACCAAGTCATCTTGAATAATGACCTTTTCCTGTACAATCAATCGAAGGCTATTTTTCTTACTTGATAATGGGAGATAATTTCTTTAGAACTGACCTTTAGCAATGGCTTAAAACTTTCTTTCTAGAGTAAGTTGTTGTATTTTTGCTGTGAAAAGGTTGTGCAATTTAGTGCACCAAATGATGAGTGCTAATGCTTTTGTATAGCCTAAAGACGTTTTTCATATTGAAATGACCAAATTTCAAATAACCTATAGAGCTATAAGCTGTTTAATCTTTAAGCTATTCAGTGTCGTAAACAAGACCAAAATCTGCCTGACAACAAGAGAGTTGGCAGCGGGGCGACCCACGATGGGATGGTCCCGCCCATCCAGCTGAAGTAGAGTGCTAGCTAGGGTAACTAAATAATTAAACCTGCCATGTTGTGTGTCTACGAGTGATAGATCATGAAATTATAAAGACCCTTTCCACTGTCCCTACAACGCTAGGAGGTGAAACCCTGCGTGGGTCCGTCTC